AAATCCCCTGGGGGAAACAAAACAAAACCAAAAAAAAGCAAAAAAAAAAAAGCTACAAATAAGGAGTAGGGTTAAATTTCATCTATTTGAGTGCATTTGCATGTTATAGAGAGTTGTTTAAATTCTCAACGCTTCCTTGGGCAGCCCCTTCTTTCACTGTGTTTTCAAAATGAAATACACTATTGCACTCTTGCTGAACTGAAAATAAATAATAATAATAATAATAATAATAATAATAATAATAATAATAATAATAATAATAATAATAATAATAAATCTGGGACAAGGGTTAGAGTAGTGGCCATAACTCATTCGATCAGCCCACCTTTTAGTGCAGGTCTCGTGGGGCGACAGTTAGATGATATTATTAATAAAAGTAATGACTGAAATATGAAAAGAAACCTTAGCGAAGACGCTTACATAAACAGTTACGCTGCGAGTGCTCGGGAGCACTGGTGAATTCATTGCCACAGCGCCCCCTCCCATACACAGCTTGAACTAAAGATTTCATCCTGAAGATGCGTAAAGAAAAGTTATTTCTTTTAATTTCTCCCTTTCTGTTTTCTCTGCTCCTTGCTGTATCCCTGCAAGCAGACACGCGGCAGAAAGGCTCGTCCACCTCATCCTGCCTTCCCTCGTTTGCACAGATCGCTCCTCTTCGCTCAGAAAGAGCCTCACAAGCCAGGCTTCTTTTATTAGAAAACTGGACAACTCCGCTTGCACAGTATGCGTGTGTCATTTGTTATTTTTAAATACAATAGTCTATTATTTCACGTCGTTGTCTCCGGGAGATGGTGACGACCCCCCATTTCATGAGAGAAAGGAGAAAGCATTCCCAGACCATTGTGTGGTTATGTCACAGGAAACCGTTTCTGCTGCGCATTGTGTTACATCTCCAAATCCCACGAAGTTCCACTTCTCTCTGCTCCAAAAGTTGTTGTGTCCAGTGTTACGACGATTGGGTAACCGGCATTGTCCGGGCGATGGGCGTGCGTGCCTCTTTGGGCCACAGGGAGCCCTCCTGAGGCAGGGAAATCTCTCCTTCACGCCAGCGAGATTCGCTTTGCTCTGCTCTGCTCTGCTCTGCTCTGCTCTGCTCTGCATTACCTGGGTGACTTTCCAGAGCAGAAATTCGGGGCAGAATACCCCAAAGTCCAGCGCACGAAGGGGCGCACGCAGCCGCCGCGCAGAGCGAGGCGACCGCACTCCCGCAGCAGGGGCACGGGCGCTCTTCTTCTCCCCAGACGTTGGCTTTCAACTTCACCCGCCCGAAAACTTCAGCCTCTGTCACTAGTGCAAGGAGATGTAGCTAATAAATGGCAAACCGCAAAACCTGTCTCCCAGGACGGCAGTGAGAGATAGCTGAAGAGGGGCGGAGGGTGAGGGGGCTCTCAGATGAGCAGGAGCAAACTGAATTAAAGAAGACAAGGCGAGAGCACCGCTTAAAATCTAGGAAGGTAAACGCTGAGCTAATGAATAGATTATTCAAATAAAAAACGCAGTGTGTAAAGTCTTAATGTCTCTGTGTAGGCATGTTAATTTGCCACAGTTATTACCAATAAAAAGTGCATGTAATACTATTCTACTGTTTAACAGCGCAAGTTAGACGGCTTTTTATTAGTAACGGGTAGTACTATGGGAAAATTAGATTTCAGCTGTGGAGCCAAGCAGATGCAAAAAACTCTTCCCTGCGAAAGGCACTCGAATCAAACCGAGATAACTCCGAGAAGAAGTTAAATACAACCAAGTACGCTGACCGCTATTTAAAAGCGCTTTTGACACGGTTTTCTCGTTTGTTTAGTGCAGAGACCTTGCCTAAGACTGAACGTCCCCACTGGCTTCTCGTTCTCCACGTTGTACATCCCCACTAGCTTCTCGTTCTCCACACTGAGCAGAGTCAAATTAGTGGTGTACTTGTAATAAAATGCATAGCTTCTCCTTGCAGTGGGTAAATCCATGCCTTTCTGAAGCCATACAAAAATTATGCAAATCAAATCAACCTAAGAACTTGTCTTTTGAAATGATAATATTTTACCCCATTAATCTTTGATGGGGAAATTAACCCTGTTTCTGTTCATAAAACTACATTTTTAGACTGCACAAATTAAAACACGAGAAATATAATCTGTTGCTCTTTGTGTTAGGGGGAAGGGGGTAATGTTCTTGATTTAAATATTCCTTCCACCGAAATCACAGAAAAAAAAATATTTTCATAGAAGTAAGACATGCAGATGGACGCTAAAGCAACACCTAGATTTTACACGGACGGGCACGTATACCTCGCGTGTACAACATATGTATATGCGTGTAGATACTTATGGAGATTTGTATCTCCTGTGTGTGCGTGTGTGTCTGTGCGTATCTACACACACTCTGAACTGAATTATATCGATTCTCCTGGGATCACGGTATTTATTTAAGTACTCTTCCCAGGTCATAACTGTAACACTCACTTAATAGCATTAATCCCTTGTTATAATGTAAACACGACGGCCATTGTATTCCCAATCTGTATTGTTCCACTAATTATTAAAGAGGAGGAACTAAAAGCAATCAATTCGCGTAGATAAACACTTACTTACACCACCCCTGCTGGAAAGAGCAGACTTGGCTTCCCAAATAAAAATGCAGAGAGTATAATACATTTTGCAAGGCATGCAGGTTGACTTAGAGAGATTCATGTATGACTTTATAATGTTATAATTAATTTTGCATTCTCAGCTCTCCAGCTGCTGCTCTGTTCAAAAGCAGAGCTCATATACTTAGAAATCGGTCTGCGGAACACAGGAATTGACTATTCAGATGTAATCGCATGATATCGATTATTCCATAGAACTACTGAAATATGAATGTGTTTTATATAAAGCTGTTGTTTTTAGAGTTTCTATTTTTATTTAATGTATGCGCATTAATCATCAAGTAGGGAAGGAAACGTCTTTTCTGTAATCTGTTGCACTGAGTTTACAAGTGGTTTATCACTCTCTTATCAGGAAGTCGGGAGTTAATGACAAGAAATACCTGTTGGTGTTAACCTCCTCCCCCTCACCTGCCTTTTTAAGGATTGCCTCTTCTACAGGCCAGCTGATAGATCTGGATGGGAATTAATCCAGTATGTCTGGTGGCCAGATCTCTGCTGCTGCTGTGTGCAGGGGCAGGGGTATAGTGGTATACTGGTTTCACAGAAAAAAAAAGAAAAAAAAAATCAGATAGAAAAAAAAAAAAAAGGAAAGCCCAGATCGCTTCAGACAGTACATGCACCCTGATCACCCTGATACTTGCCCGTAGTTTTAAGAGGGCATTTTCCCCGCTCCATCCGTCATCGTATAGAAACGGTTTCTCGACGTGTATTTGTTTATTAGCTGCGTGTTTAATTGATTAACAATAGGCTGTCCTGCTCGCTTGCAACTCTCCAGCTAGTGCCACCTCCCTTCCTGTCAGTTTCGAGCCGGTTCCTCGGCGTACCTGATCAGATGCGCGTTCTCCATCCTACCCAACGGCAATTACCTAAGGTATTCTACCAAGTCGGCCGCAAACACAAAGGCACTTTATTTGCTAAAAGCAAAACCAATGCTCACTCACAGATGCTGGAAAAATAAATAAATAAATAAATAAATAAACCACGCAATTTGATGAACCTTTTTTTATTTTTATGCAAACCTCAATATTTATTTATTTATTTATTTATTTATTTATTTTCCAGCAGCGCAGGGGCTCCTAAGCCTGCGCACGTTGCGGACGAGGGGGCTGGCTGGCAGCGCGGTGGCTCGTAGCACCCCAACCCCGGAGGCTCCGCTCCCACCTGCCGGCTCGGGGCGCAGGTGTGGGCAGGGGGCGCGGAGCGGCCTAGCCCCCCGGCGGGGCGGCGGGGAGACGCCGCGGGCTGGCTCCAGCGCCGTGCCCTCAGGGCGGAGGGAGGGAGCCGGGGGGCGCGGGAGTAACCAGGGGAGGGCCGCTGGAGAGCCCGTCCCGGGAGCCCCAGGCCGGAGCTCGAGCGGCTGCGATTCCCCGCTGCGGTCTGAAGAGTCCCTGCGGGCTATTCTTAAAAGGATCTATAACGTATATACATGGATATATATTTGTATGTATTTAGATCTGTACCGAGAAGGAAAGCTCTGTGCTTTCGCCCTCCCGTAGGAGCAGAGCTGTTAACGTCTAGAAGCTGATGAGTGGTCAGGGCCGAAGGGAGGGAGGGGGCAGAGGAAGAGATTACGTTATTTGGGAAATTAATTAAATCGCGATCGTATTCCGAGAGATTTATCTGAACTTCAAAAGGGGGGGAGGGAGTAGCTAGCCCCCCGGAAGGAGTCACTCAGGCCTCTTCCCCACGCACCAGACCAGGAAGAATAGAAATGAAAGAAATATGAGGATTTTTTTTTCCCCTTCATGCGCAAACGCGATCCATGACCTGCTTTAGACTGTTCATGGCAACTTAGAAAACTATAGAGCTCTCGCTGCCAGGAACAGCGCGATCCTGGATCTGTTGCTTTGAGCAGTTGCTCTTCTTTTCTGCCATATAGGGCAGTACTTTTACAAAGTGCTCTCCCCTTGTATCCTACCCAGCTCCGTCGAGCCTGGCTTAGCGTACCCACATGCGTGCAAATGCACATACATATGACACGTGTGCGTGCGTCCAGCGGGAGCTGCTAGCTCTCCAGAGAGTGCGTATGTGAGGGGATGCATTTATTTATCATACGCACGATTTTTGTTCCCCGCCTGGACCCAGAAAGCGGGCGACGGAGTGTAACCGAGAGTGTGTGAAAGAGTATTTATGGCTCCGCGAGTCCGGAGAGAAGCTGATGAGCAGTATCGTCGTCTGGCTTCAGCAGTGTGCTCGCAGCCGGAGAGGCTGGCTTGCATTACAAAGCCTGCCTTCGCTGCCTCCTCGCCTGCCTGCCTCCCGGCCGCGGGAGGAGACGGAGACGGGGCCGGAGCGGGAGGGGGCGGGCCCGCCGCGCTATGCAGATGAGCGGCGGTGACGGACAGCTCTGTTTTCCAATGTCCCTCAGAAACTCGAGTGCTCCTTCCCTCAACTCTTCACTTCAGACTCTATACTTCCCCCAAAATACAGGCTCGCAGGCGCTGGGGGAGCTGGCTGGCTGGCTGGGAGAACTCCATATGCAGCAGCCACTTTTCTGATTTCGGGGGCTCGCTTCTTTCTCTCTCTCTCTCTCTTTCTCCCTCTCTCCCATTCTGTTTCTCTCCCTTTCTCTCTCTCTCTCTCTCTTTATTAACCCTCTCCTCTTCCGTCTCTCCCAGATGCCCTTCCCCTCCCGGTTAGATTTCTGACCGTTCGATTTATTTTACCTTTTTTTTTTTTTTTTGAGGGGGGGGTGTTCTTTTTTTTTTTTTTTCCCCTTCTGTTTGTTTTTATTCTGAGCGGGTGCGCATGGGGGGGAGCATATAACAATTCTGATTCTCTACATAACTGCACAGAGCCAACCGGGGGGGGAGAGAGAGAGAGAGAGAGAGAGAGAGGAGAGAGAGAGAGAGAGAGAGAGAGAGGGCGGGAGAGAGGGAGAGAGAAAGCACGAAAGCAGCGCCAGGAGCAGCGGCAGCAGCAGGGCCGGTCACCCTCGCCCCCTCCCTGCTCCTGTGCACGCCAGTGCAAGCCATGTCCTATCCTCAGGGTTACCTCTACCAGCCCCCCGGCTCGCTGGCTCTGTACTCCTGCCCGGCGTACGGGGCGTCGGCGCTGGCGGCCCCCAGGAGCGAGGAGCTGGCCAGGTCTTCGTCGGGATCGGCGTTCAGCCCTTACCCGGGATCGGCAGCTTTCACCGCCCAGGCGGCGGCCACAGGCTTCACCAGCCCGCTCCAGTACTCCACAGACCCCGCCACGGGATTCCCCTCCTACATGGTAACTACCGAAGAGAACCCCTCTCCTTCTTCATTAGCATCTGCATTCTCATCCTCATCATCTTCAGCCTCTCTCCTCACACACTCGCCATCAGTCCCCGACACAGCCGGCCGGAGGCCCCGCACTAGCGCCGCCGCCTCCGCGCTGCCAGCCCCGCACCGCGGCCGGGGCTGTGCGGAGCTGAGCAGTGCCGAGCCGAGCCGGGCAGAGCGGGACCGGGCCGGGGCCGAGCGGGGCCGGGGCCGGGGGAGCTGCCTCGCTGCGCGCCCCGGCCGAGCGCAGTGCCGCCGGGCCTGGGACCCGGGCTCGCCCCGCGGTTCCCGGAGCCGTGCGGGAGCCCTGATTAAAGAAACACGGCTTTCTCAGTCAGTTGGGCTGCAGGCTTTCATTCCACCACCCCCCCCCCCCCCCCACCGGCCCCTTCCCCTCCACACACCCCCCGCTTTCTCCTTTTTTTTTTTTTTTTTTTTTTTCCTTCTTTTCGCTGTGGTAGGATAGGGGACGGTTTCTTTTCTTTCTTTTTTTTTCTTTTTTTCTTTTTTTTTTCTCTTTTCCCCCCTCTCTCTTTTTAAGTCGGTGTTTAGAGGCGCTGCGGGCTTTATCCTCTTGTGGTTTTATTTACTTTCAGTGTGTTTTGTGCTAATGGTTTAACTGGATTTTGGGAATGAAAAGGAGCATCTGTTTGCGATCTGTGAGCTTCGCTTAAGCCCAAGATGGTTGTGGTGGCCGCAGTTTCGGATTTCACTTTCTTCTCATTAATTAAAAGGAGCATTTGCAATTGCGTGTGCATAAACTATATAAATAAAACCATAAACTATAAAAATAAACTGTACGTCTAGATGGTTATATAGTTTTATAAACATATACACGCGGAGTCAGACACATATTTAGTCCGCACACACAAAGACCTGTACCCGGAATTTAAGACCGGAGCCGCTGTCGAGATCCTAGGAGGGGATGGCAGCAGGGTAGTTTGCTCTCCCTGCAAAGTGACAGGGAAACTACTTTCTGTTCTTAAAATGCGGTACATAAATTGTCGTGCAGTCTTTATTCTGGGTAGTATAAAAGATCTGAGTAGCTCGCTCGTTTGTTTTTCCTGTTGAGAAGCAGTAGGCGAGTGGCTGGAAGTTGCAGCGAGGTTGTGAACTGTGCGGGATATTGGGTGACGGTGCGCCTGTGAGTCGCCGATCTACGGGGTTCAGAGACGTGCGGAAAGTTAGCGAGTTCCTTAGTGATATCTTTAACTTTTCTTGCATTATGCAGACTTAAATAAGCGCAATTTAAACGTTAAAGGGCGAATTAAAATGCTAATTACATCGCATTTGAACAATTCGAAACGGTGCATATCTTCTGATTTGCAAATTGGATTTGCAAAGCATTAGTGCAGTGAATTGCTAAGTGGCGGCTTTGTTGTATTTTCTATAGCAAAAAAGGAAACATCTTTTGAACCTCTGAGAGAAATGTAGATATCAAGACACTACCTGTAGGGCCTTTAAAATGTCTGCGCGGTTCAAAAACGATATTGGGAAATATTCAATTACAAGGAGCTGAAATTAGTCAGAAAGATTATAACATCGCCGGTTTTAAGTGTGTGCCCGTGCCTATGCGTTGGGCGGAGGAATGGGGGGTGGGATGGGGGGGTCACAACTTAATGGCCTTTGGGTGCTGCTTCTCCCCCTCATAGAATATGGATACAAGACACCGTCCAGGGGAAATACAAATATAACCACCGATCTCGCCTTGACAACTTACTAATGGCTATCAGCAGTAACAAATTGCCAACCCCACCGTTTTTTTCTGTCCAGGGCTCCCCTTACGACGCCCATACGACAGGGATGACCGGAGCCATCAGCTACCACCCGTACGGCAGCCCTGCCTACCCCTACCAGCTCAACGACCCCGCGTACAGGAAAAACGCCACCCGCGACGCCACGGCCACGCTGAAGGCCTGGCTGCAGGAGCACCGCAAGAACCCCTACCCCACCAAGGGCGAGAAGATCATGCTGGCCATCATCACTAAGATGACCCTCACCCAGGTCTCCACCTGGTTCGCCAACGCCCGCCGGCGGCTCAAGAAGGAGAACAAAATGACCTGGGCCCCGCGGAACAAGAGCGAGGACGAGGACGACGACGAAGGCGACGGGGCGAGGAGTAAAGAGGAGAGTCCCGAGAAGATGCCCGAGAGCAACGAAACCTCCGCGGAGGATGAAGGTGGGCGCGGGGTGACGGCAGGCGCCCGGCGGCGGCGGGGTGGCCCCCTCCCGTCCCGTCCCATCCCACCGCGTCCCCCCGAAAGCTGGCAGATGGGTGGGGGGGGGGCGTGCGGGCTTTTAACAGAGGCTCCCCCAAAACGCGTCCTGTCCCGTCCAACAGGGCTTCCGCGGTCTCCGCTTGCTGGCGGCAGCCGGGGAGCGCTGGGGGTGGCCAGTGGGGACGCGGGGGGCCGGCGGGGCGGCGGGGGGCGCCGCGGCAGAGCCAGCCCGTGGGGACGGGAGAGATGGCAGTTGCACGGCGAGGCCGCGGCGGCTCGTTTCTCGGCCGCTGCCTCTCTTCCTTCCTTCCCTCCCGCCCCCCCCTAACTGTGTCTTTCTGTGCCCGCCGACCCTCGCAGGGATCAGCTTGCACGTCGACTCGCTGACGGACCACTCCTGCTCCGCCGAGTCGGACGGCGAGAAGCTGCCCTGCCGAGCCGGCGACCCCCTCTGCGAGTCGGGCTCGGAGTGCAAGGACAAGTACGAGGACGTCGAGGAGGAGGAGGACGACGACGACGAGGAGGACGAGGACGACGAGGAGGACATCGAGGAGGACGACGGCGGCGGCGGGGAGCGCGACCCACCGGCCAAGCCCGCCACCTCCTCGCCGCTGGCCGCCGTGGAGGCCCCGCTGCTCGGCCACCCGCACGCCGACGCCGCCCGCAGCGCCAGCAAGGCGGCGCTGGGCGGCCGCGCCTCCCCCGGGCCCCCGACGCCGGCCAGCAAGCCCAAGCTCTGGTCGCTGGCCGAAATCGCTACCTCGGACCTCAAGAGCCAGAACCTGGGCCAAGGCTGCCAGCCAGCGGCGTTGTCCTCGGCCACCCCCGCCTCCGCCCCGCACAGCGCTGCCTACTCGCCCTCCTCCCTCCTGGGGAGGCATATTTATTACACCTCACCTTTTTATAGCAATTATACAAACTATGGGAACTTTAATGCTCTCCAGAGCCAGGGAATCCTGAGATACAACTCGGCAGCAGTGGCTTCAAACGAGGGACTAAGTCAGACTGTCTTAAATGCCAGCTCTGTTCACAAGCAGAGCAGTGACTCTTTGAAAACGATCACTAACCAGCTAGAACAGCATTACAGGCCCTCTAGTTATGACTCAAAGAAAGGTAGGTGACTTATTTTTACCACTTTTTCCCCCCTTCCACCTCGTCCCCCGTCCTTGGCCAGTGTGAATCCCTTATACACTGTAAATATTGAAACCTGCTCTGGACAAAACACTGAGCACACTGTCATCGTTGCCACTGGCCGCATACTGAAGATGGGCAATAGTGTAATCTGGGGATTAAAAATTGCATGTCACCATCCTATCAATACTTGCCTTTAGGAACGCAGAGAGGAAATTTAAAACACGACTTTTAGATCACTCCTGCACACTGCAGACACAGCTTTTAAAGCCATTTTAAAAGGAAAACTAAATACAAAGGTATCCAGAGAGCACTGCTGTCATTACCTTTAATATATTTATATTTGGGTTTGGATAATTGCTAACCTTGGACATGAAATTATGTGGAGCATGACATTTTTAACACTTTTTTTTTTTTTTTTTAGAAAGTTTTATGCTAGTATAATCGTCTTCTTATTCTTAAAAAATAATAATAATCAATATAAGGGCAATTATAGAATATTGTCCAATCTTTTAAAGGACTTAGCTATGAATTCTGCTTGAGCGAGAGTTGAGATGTACACAAAGTGTATAATCTAGTTAGCTAGCTGTGTCCTGTGACTAACTGACGGTTATATTTTGACAGATCCCACTGAAGTCTGCACAGTAGGAGTACAACCATACCTATAGAAGTGCAATCACACAGCAATGCAAGTAAGTGAGAGCATTTTCTGTTACGCTGATCATTTGGCATCAGGTCTAAGAGTGCACAGATCTAGACTTGCTTAACATTAATTTCTTGCTTCATTACATAAGGCTCTGATTACAAAGTAAGACACTCTTTTCTGTTATTTTTAAGCCTCTCATTACAGCCTTTCTTTCTCGTGTTCATTTTAAAGTCAGGTTAGACAGTTCCCTCACCTCCCATACTCTTTGCTTGTGTGAGGCAAAGCCTTAAGGACTGTTTAAATGTTATGGAAAGAGAGCTTTAAAAAATATTCTTGAAGGTATTGTTGTTTAAAAACAAAGTGCTTGTGCTCACGTGGCAGTGCTGTAATTGCACATTTTAAGCGAGGTTTCCCGTGGTGACCATATATTTGAAATAAAAAGGGAGAATTATTAGAGATCGACATGCATCTTAAGCAGCAAATCTATGAATTGCCCCTCGCCTGACTATCAATGGCAGTCTTAATACCTTCATTATCTAGGGCTAAATAAACAGCATCAAAAATTGCCTTGTCGATATTTTTCCAACTAATTCTTTTGCTAAAATAGATTAGATGAGAAAGAATTTTACTTTTTTTTTTTTTTTTTTTTTTTAAATTCTCTTCAATTTAATGGTGTTAGTGTGTAATTGAAGGATTTTTGGATGATCTGGTTTTTTCCTTGGTCCACAGGTAGGTGTCACAATTGCTTTGAAAAAAGTCAGCAAGCCATCATCTCTCCCCGAGCTAATATATATAACAAATCTCTAAATCTGGATCACATCTTGTGCCACTGTAAAAAAGAAGACCACAGAGCACTATTAAATCTTCAGACTCTAATTATTAAACCAGAATTTTGTTGGACATAATGTGAGTTTTCTGGTATAGTATAGTTTCCCCAATGTATGTGTGACTTTCAAAAACAGATCTGTTTTTCTCAGGATATCTTGAATTGATCACTTCATTGCCACGGTATATATTCGATAGGTGTGATAGGATTTATTGTAAAATTTATTTGTAAAAGATGTATACTGTAGAGATAATAAAGACGTGATTGGAGAACATGAGTCCTTACAAAGTGGAAACAAATTTGATATTTATTTTTGTAATGATATAAAGCTTCTAGTAATTTATGCAAGTTGTATTGCAATGGAATCTGAACTTTTTGTAAATAAATTTTGCTTGGTTTTTATTTGAAACGTTGATGGTTATACAATCTTTGGTTGTTTAATGAGAATTCTTTACTAATTTATATCTCTAATTGTAAATAAAAACAGACTAGTCTGCAACAATATGGTGTTTTTCGTTCATTTTCCCCAAAATAATAATCTATTATGCAGAAGATGATGAAAGTTATAATTTCACTAGTACAGCTTAGGTTATAAAATGAGTAAGCAATATAAATACGTTACAGAGATATGCTTTGCATAAATTAATTCCTTCTGGGTTGTTCCGTTATACTGAAGGTTTAAATACTCACATGTGTGCAAGTACGTATTTGTATACATACATGCAAATGTGTAGAGAGAGTGAAGTGAATACAGGCATGTTTCTTATAAACTATTTATGTTGGGTGTGATGTAGCTCTTCATTAGAGTTAACATTCTTTAAATTCACTATTTCCAGGGAGAAAAAAGTATCATAATCAGATGCAGCTTATTTCTAATTTATTTGTTTTTGCTTCTAGCTAAAGCAAGCAAACACAAAAACATGAAGAGACAAAAGTCCAATTCCTGCTTTTTAATAACCTTTTCCCTTTTTTGTTTATATCAGTGAATCATATTTTAATTTAATAGTCACATAAGAAATCCACCTTGATTGGACTCATAAGATCAGCTAACTAATCATTTTAATTTTCAGTAAAATAATGGGAATCCTCATATAATATAATTTCAGAAAAGAAACGAACAATCATTTATTTTCCCCAAAAGATAAATTGAGTGAATATAACGTACGGTTATAAAACAAGAATAATAGCTTCTTAGATTGCCCTTTAATCAATCATACACTTATTTTTCAAGAGGCTCATCTATTTTATTCCATGATTAATAATGTTCCAGCGTGAGAGCATTATTAGATCCCAGCAGGGGAGATCCTGAATGCTTTTAGCTGCTTTGGAATGGTCAGTTGGGGTTCATTATGGTCTGATATTGAACAATTTATAAAATCTTGTCTAAACATCTGCCAGCTCAGATAGGCCGATGTGTCTGAAGATGGGAAATTGCTGGACCAGTTGATATTGACAAACGGATCTCTCTCCAGTGGCTTTTTGTTCACTGAAAATTAGTGGCCTCTTGCTCAGGTCTTGTTAGAAAGGGCATTTGAAAGTGATCTTAGATACTTGAGGCATCAGCCTTGGGAATGTTAACTGGATAAAGAGCCATGCTAGTCTGGAGTCAGGAAATATGTTGTGTTTATATTAAACGGGAGGAAAGGAAGCAGTGTTTCTTAAATACATATACACAATCCCCATGATCCATCTCCCCATCACCACCCTGCCCCCCACCACCCAATCATATTTTACCCCTATAAAGCTGTCCAAATGATTGAGAAAATGCATGTGTTTTTCAGCTGATAGGGCAGAAATTAATATTGTAATTCTGGAGAACTCTGGGATCCATCTAGCTAAATATAAAACACTGAAGATCTTTACAGCTGGAGGCCTACTCATCTTCTCATATCGTTGAATGATACTTCCCTGCTTCTAAAACATCCTGTTTTAAATTGAGATAAAATGTCATTCTGTCTGTGTGCAGTACAATTAGATACCAGCTAAAAAGTAATTCATTTTTTCCCCTCCTATTTAGTGCATGATGTAAATGCAAATATTTACTTTAATAATACTCAAACCGTCTTTTATGTGCAGTTTGGGAAGATTTTACAGAGGAACTTTTTAAGTTAGGTGAGATGCCTGAAATTTCTCTTTCTCGCTCTGCCTCCTACTTCATCCGCCCCCACCACCCACATTTTATGTTCCAGGTCTCTGTTGGACGCAACGTGTACATTTCAATTGGTAAAAACCAAAAGCTGTGGCAGAGATTTAAAAAGGCTAACGACATTCCTTTGATGTTTATACGCCCGAAGACTTATAAAAGATTTCCATAATTTACCCACCCTTGCTAGTATTTAGACCTGGATTTCTTTCTGGAAAGAAAAGTAGAAAGACTTGGAAAACTCGCTTTTAAATATTCACTATGTATGTAAAACCCAATGGACTTCTCTCATCCTCTGAGAAATTCACGAGTGGTTCATGGATACAGATGGGCGACACCCAAATGATTTGGCAAATAAACCTTTTATTTTTTTTGTATTTTTATTAAAAAAAAAAAAAAACAAACAAACAAAAAAAAAAAAAAAACAACAAAAAACAGAGATTAATGGGCAAGAACTGCATATTCAACGTCATTTGAGGTTTAATAATCAAAATTGAAAGCAGGAGGAAAGTGTAGCCCTGTTAAATTGTTGGCACAAACAATGTGTTTATTTCAGGATAGCAAGAAAGAGTCATGAACGATAAAATACATCACTTTGTGTGCAGTTTATTTCATAACGATGCCAATCAACCCGCTGGGATTAAAATCTCACACCCCTTTCTATATTTATTCCTTCTTCCCCCATCCCCTCCCCTCGTTTCGGAGCGGGAAAGACAAACCCTCCCTTCTGCGGGGCCAGAGGTTTCATTAGAGCTGATTTATTGAAATTCAAGCTTTAATCTCAGGTGGGATCCCCGAGGAATTGGCGCTGTCGCCAGATAGGAAGAGGGTCGCTTTCCACTTTGCACTTCCTGGGCTGCGTTTTGCCTCGCTCCCTGCGAATGTCAACATTTGTTCTCAATAACAGAGTTATTGTTTCAGGAAAGCTGCTCACCAACTGCTTTTGAGAGTGGAAAAAAGCGTCACCCACCTTTGTTTGGCTAGAGACAGGGGGAAGGGATGGATGAGGACGGAGGTAGCACTTAGCCCAAGCCAGTAGCGGACAGACGAAATGACGTGGGAATTGCTCCTGGACATGAGTTCCCGGTTGAAAGGGAACAGGCTAAGGGGAATTAACTAAAGGGACAGTTAATATAAAGCGCAATGGGCGGCTGCAGAAATAACAGGAATGATAATGAAAACAGTAACAACAAAAAAAGAAAAAGAGGACGACCTTCCCCAGCATCCATTCTTGGAGGAGGTCTTGAGGTTTTAGGGAGAAAGGTGATTTTTCAGGTGAAGAAACAAATTGAAAGGTGTAGCTTTTAATCCAAGCTACCTGGCGGAACCCTCCCCAGCAATGTCAAATACAGGGAGCGGGAGAAAGCCGGGACCAGGGCAGTCCGTTCTGGCCGCGGCCCCTCCATGCCCAACCTCATGGGAAAAGAAAAGAAACAGAAAAGAAAAGAAAGAAGAAAAGAAAAGAAAAGAAAAGAATAAGCAAAGAAACGAAAAGGAAAGAAAAGAAGAAAAGAATAAGAAAGAAAACGAAAAGAAAAGCAAAGAAAAGAAAGAAAGAAAAGAAAAGAAAGAAAAGAAAAGAAAAGTAAAAGAAAGAAAGAAAAGAAAAGAAAGCAAATAGAAAAAGAAAAGAAAAGAAAAGAAAGAAAAGGAAAAGAAAAGAAAGAAAAGAAAAGAAAAGAAAGAAAAGAAAAGAAAAGAAAGAAAAGAAAGAAGAAAGAAAAGACAAGAAAAGACAAAGAAAAGGACAAGCAAAGAAAAGAAAAGAAAAGAAATAGAAAAAGCCCCTTCTCGCTCCCTGGAAGTTTCTGCCTCACATGTTACATCTCACTTAGAGGCAGTTCAGACTCACCGAGCCACTGAGAAACCTTCGCGGGGATGTAATTAATACCGGAAGGATTTTATCGTTATTAACTTTTTGAAGGGAAAAAAAAATTATAATAAATAAATAATAAATAAAAAGAGGGATAGAGAGAGAGACAAGGAATTTTCATTTAAGGTCTGCTTGTTGCTTTCTGTGTTCAGACATTTCCCGAGTACTTGGGCAAGCTTCTCACGATCCAACTACTCAAAAGAGACTTTGCAGTGTAGGAATTGAATAATAGTGGTGTGTGTATATATATATTATATATATAATAGTAGTGCTGCACATTAAATAATATGAATTCCCCCCCCCCCCCCCCTTTTTTTTTAATACAGTAATTTATAACTCAGGTATGTTCCTGGCTTTTAAAGAAATAAAAAAAATGAAAAAAAAAAAAAAAAGTTAAGAAACAAAGGGATCCTTGGTGAATATTCAAAGCATCCATGCATCTAATCCCTGATAATTACTCGGTGACTCTGAAGCAGAGTCTTTAATAAAACCGGAGAAGAGAAGTACGGCTGGCAGGGCACCCAATGGCAGAGAAGCAGCCGCGAGGGTCTCTGGAGGCAGAAGCGCTTCACCTGCGAGCACCCTGGCCAGGGGAATAGCGGGACTCTTGCAGCCTGGACCCGTGTTCCCTGCCTCCCCCCAATCCCTCCTCCCCAGCCTAGAGTCACAGGGGAATGTCACCTTTTTACATCTAATCCCGGCCGAGCCGACGGTATTTTCCCTTAGTAAAAGCAAGGGACGGAGCGACACGGGGCAGGCACCGTGTGTCTGCTGAGCCGCGCCCCTCACTTTGCTCCGTCCGGGATTTGGGGACCCAAAGGAAAGACAAGAGGGCTGGCACCTGGCCCCGGCCCTCCTCGGAAAGAAAGGCAGGAGCGCAGGCCGGCTGCAAAAGTCACTTCTGCTCTACCCGGGCTTGTGTCATACGTGACGGGGGATTTCAAAAGAGCACATATTTGCGAGGAAAAGAAGAAAAAAAACCTTTCGTGCTCTCCGTGCGGATACTGTCACTGCTCGGGCTCTTAAAAACCGTCCAAGGGAAAGAAAAAAATAAATAAAAAGTGTGCATTTTTATAGGGAGATAAATTGGCAATTTATTGTGTATAACTTCTGATCAATTATTAATCGTTAGTGTCAACAACAGGGTTATAATTACCTTCACTTATTTAAAGGAATATTTATTTTTGCTTCTCTCTGATCTGGTAATTAGTTAATGCTCTGGAGTAATGAATTCAAAGCTGATTTGATAATGTTTGAGACAGAGGTTTTTTCCCTCTCTTTTGGTAGTCCCTCTCGCGGGGGGGAAGGTGTCTCCCCACCCCACCCCCGTTTGCAGAAGTGTCCATATAAAGGCAAATCGCGCCGCGTTTCACTTTTCAGACTATAAATAACGATTCTAGGAGGAAAAGGGCGAAATGACAAACAAATAGAGCGCAGCTGGGATGAATAAGGCTGATCAAAGTTAGCTGGGGCCGACGCTTCTAGC